CTAGATTCTTAAATTAGTTTTGCTTTTATGAAGTAAGCAAACCATCTGACTTTAAACCTCAGTAAGGCTAGTCAATTAAATTCTGTACATATCTACTGAAGCCATGCCACAACAAGGCAGAGTGGTAGGGCATGGTCTCTTCTCTCAGGGAGCTGATGATCTCATGGCAGAGATCCTTGTAAACAAATACAGCAGGAAATGAGTGAGTGTTCACAGAATTAGCAGCAGACTGGGGCAGCATGGGCAAAAGAGAAAGTAAGTACAATAGCTCCCATCAGAGATTATAAATTCCTTTCTATGACTCAATTTGAAGTTATCTGAATGAGGCTCTGAGAGCCAATCTAATGTCAATGTCAGCATCAGTCCTTGATCTCCTTTTTTGGTGCACCCAGTAGAAATCTGCCACTTAGATCCACCAGCTGCAGCCATAATATCTGTAGCTCCTCCCATAGACAGGGAGTCTATTTGCCCTTGAATCTGGGTTAGCTTCATGGTTTCCTCTGATCCACGGCATAGTGACCTTGTTTGACTCCCCAGGCTATGACTTAAAAAGTCTGACAGCTTCCACTCCCAGTCTCCTGGATGTTCTCCACAGACAGACAATGTAGCATATGAAGGATGAGAAGCCACATCCTTCTCTCCGTGAGAGACTCCTGCTGGAGGATTTTCTAGAACTGTGGCCTTCAGTGGACAGCATCACCAACTGCCAGACATGTGAGTGCAGCCACCTTGGACCTTCAGCTCAGTTGACGCTCCAGTTCAGGGATTGGCAAACTACAGCCGGTGGGTTAAATCTGGCCCTTAGCCTGTTTTTATGTAGGCCCTTGAGCTAAGAATAGCTTTTGCTTTTTTAAGGTTTGTAAAAAAATAAAATAAATAGATAACAAAGACGAATATATGACAGACACAAGCCTAAAATATGCATTATCATATAATTTTGCCAATCCCTGCTACAGCTGAATAGGACTGTATAAGCCCTGACAAAACCACAGAGGAACCACCCAACCAACCCTCAGAACTGAGACATGTTAAGCTGATAGTTTTATTATATAGATGGTTTGCTCTGCAGCAGCAGATAACTGAATCACAAGCTAGTAAATGCTACACAAAGAACAAGGAGACTGCTTCGAAAGATGATAATCTCTTAAAGGTTTTGGACCTTCTCTTCTCTTCTCACTCATTTCATTGGGGAAGATTTCTTACTCTCAAACTGTTGTCCATGGCTGTGCATTCTAGGGAGGTTTTTGGCAGTCATAAGTATATATATCCACTAGTTATTCAGGGGACATTCAAAACATTTTTAAAAACAGATACTGGAATATAACCTTTCTAAAATACAGTATTTGTAAAATATAATATCAATGTCCTACAGCATCCTTCCAAAGACAGAGGTCTATTTTTTCCATGTATTAATCTTTTTGCAATGGAGCCTGCTTCGTTTTGTTATCAATGGGTTTTCTCTACTTAGTGAGGAGAACTGTCAGCCAAGTTGAGGTGAAGAATGGCTATGATGAGGTATCAGCAGGCAACAATCACTTTACCCTTTGCAAAGGGCACGGCTACCTGCCAGGGCAGGAACCAGGAAAAGAATCATAATCATGATTTAAATTTGAATATTTATACAGTGCCAACTCGGTCCAGCACCTGGACTTACACTGCTACTATCCAAACACAGTTCTTTGTACAACCATTTAAACTCCTATATTCACCTCTATTAGTTTCAGAGAATTTTCAAGTTACCATAATTGATTTTTAAATGCATCTTTAACTCTCCTATTCTTTTCCCTTTTACAGGAAAAAATAAATAAATAAAAGGCTGTGACAAGGAAGAAGCCATTGAATCAAGGAATCTGTAAACTAAAAGAAATGGTGGGCCATGCTAACAGTCAATGCAAATGCATGGGTCACAATTGGGGATGGGTGATTATGGCTAGGTTTGAAGTTAAGTAGGCGACCCAGACCCACATGATTTTGAGCAAAGGACCAGATACTACACATTTGAGTTTGCATTTGGCCTGGTAGGTCCTTTCCAAATACGTCTCCCTTCCCCAGCAGTGAGCCTCATCTCCCGGTGATCATGTCTTTGCCTGATCCCTTCCCCTTGAACCTTGAACGGCCCTATGCTTGCTTTGACCCATAGAATGTGGCAAAATGATGCTACAAAACTCTAGAGGCTAGCTTCTGTCTTGCAGCTTCCGTTTTGGACTCAGAATGCTGACTCTGTTGAAATTCAGATGAGCTGGCAGGGTCAAAAGCAAACATTAATTTGCTGATGCAAACAAATCCATTGATATCACCCACTGACTTAGACAGCCTTATTAAAAAATGTTCCCCTTGTGAGAAGTGGGGATGCAGGCTGTCTGTTTAGAACACTACATTTGTCTGTGGAATAGATGATGCCCTTTAAGTGTCCTTTTGTGGGAGTTGAGGTGATCATTGTTATGTAAACTTGATATAGCTCTTGCCCAGCAGAGTTAAAGAGCTTAAATGGATGAGCTCACATCCTTAGATATCTATGCTGTAAACCGGAGACCAGAGGACCACAGGCAGAGATTACGCACATTATTACATATTCTTGATTTGTTTCTGTTTTTAGACTGGAGCTGGGAGTTTAGGTCAGGTATACCCAGCTAAATACAGGAAACTCCTCCTGGATTTTATCGAATCTTAAAACATGCATCACAAGACCTTCTAGAATACATCACTGCTTTTCCCAGAATTATCCACAGGAATTCTAAAATAGCACAAACTCCACAGAGACCAGAGCCTACTGTTATTTGAATGAAGCTAGTATTTAATTTAATGAAGCATCTACCACTGGGTGATCTGAAGCAGTAGGTACTGGAATGATCCAGATAATTACTCTACCCACCTAGGTGAATGGATCTATAACCTGTGTTCTCCTTGCCGAGATCTAAGACTTTCTTCTCTGAAAAGTTCTAAAGTCTCCACTCCCACAGAAAACCTATTAACCTCAAAAGGGAAAGTGGACTTTATAATAAGGAAATCTGGAGGACACTTCAGATTTCGGCGATCACTGACACTGGGACAACCTAATATTAGGCATTTAAGAATTAATATTGTGTGTTTAATATTATGTTCTTCTTGATGGCAAACAATATGAAGAGCACCTTGTAAAGTATGAGGAATTCTTGCCATCTAATCAAACATCTCAACCTTCCTTCTAGCTTACAGGAAATGGGAGCCCTAGAGAAAAAGTTAAGTGTCATCAGGAGGGAAAGAAAGTAAGACAAATCGAGAAAGAACCCTCTGAGATAACTTGCCTAAACTCTTCACAAAGTTAAGGCCATGAAACAAAAAGGGTGGAGGATTGTTCTGCATTTAAAGAGACAAACATAACAAATGCAATGCACGAATCTTCACTGCACTGCACAACATTAATATATAACCTTTTTTTTTTTTTGACAATGGGAGAAATTTGTATATGGGCTAGATATTAGGTGATATTATCAAACTGAACTTCTCAGATGTCGTTAAGTTTCTTATATGGTTACACAGAAGAATGTCTTTGCCTTTCTTCTTAGGAAATGCAGGCTGAAGTATTTAGGAGAGGGAAAGAAGGCAGTTATGACAACATGTTAAGTTATGCGGTCTTGGAGGAGTATATATGAGTGCTCATTGAACTACTCTTTCAACTTTTCACATGGTGATACAGGAACCAAGCTGTTCACCGTTCCACAGCCAAGCGGCCAGAATCGGGAACTGTTTACAGATGGCACCCTTCCAGGGGTGCTGAGAAAGAAGAAATATTATTTCTGGATTAATTCAACCACCTCCACCCAAAGACTGGTATGACCACAACCCGTACAGCAAGCCCCCATTTCCCACGCCTGAAAGCCTCTCCAGTCTTCCCGGGGGGCACTACGTAGTTGGTGACGACTCAGGCTGGGGCAGGCCTTCTTTGATTTCTCCAAACCAAAGGAGGTTTTCGAGAGGCACTTCCCAGGAGCACGCGACACCCTGGGACTCCTGTTCCTACAGTAGATCTTCGTAACCCGACGTATTCCCACCCTTCATTTTCCATGGACTCTAGAAGGCGAACGCGCATTTCTTCTGAAAGAGCTAAGAACTTCCCAAGGGTTCTTCTTTCCTTCACAGACAGCTTCATGAGGTTTTTTTTAAAGTAAATCCCTCTATGAATGCTTCGAGGGCATGCATTTACGCAGCTTGGAAATACTGCAAGCAGGCTAAGAGGCGCGAGTCTTCAACAGAAATCTTTACGGGAGGTCTGCCACTAAATTGCTTGACCTATGCCAGCCTCAGGTGTAAAATGCATACCTAACAGCACGGTGCTTGTCTGCTGGTGATGGCGAGGATTCAGAGAATGTGCCAGGCGAACGCGCACGGCTGCGGGGCCCGCGCGTGCATGCGAGCGAGCGAGCGAGCGAGGGGCT